GGTCTCTTGGGGAGATTAAGCGTTGGAACTCGAACTCTCTTTTTGGTTGGAGAGAGCTGTGGCGTTTCCCTACTGCCCCGTCGCCATCTTGGTCCCCCCTTCCTGGTTTTTGTTTTTGTTTTTTTTTTTTTTTGATGATTAATTGGAGATAAGTGTCTCATGGACTTTCTTGCCTGGGCTGGCTTAGAACCATGATCCTCAGATTTTAGTCTCCTGAGTAGCTAGGATTCCAGGTGTGAGCCACTGGTGTCTAGCTAGTTTTAGTATTTTTATTCTAATTAAATAAACATTTATCTAAGGTATTACTTTAATCTGTGATAATTTTATATCATCTATACCATAGTTTTGTGTGTGTGTGTGTGTGTGTGTGTGTGTGTGTGTATGTGTGTGTGTGTGGTTGTGGGGCTTGAACTTTGGGCTTGAGCGCTGTCTCTCAGCTCTTCAGTTCAAGGCTAGTGCTCTACCACCTGAGCCACAGTGCCACTTCTAGTTTTCTGGTAGTTTATTGGAGATAAGAGTCTCAGGTACTTTTCCTGCCCCACAACTGGCTTTGAACCGGGACTGGCTTTGAACTGTGATCCTCAGTGCTCAGTCTCCTGAGTAGCTAGGATTACAGGTATGAGCCATGGGCGCCCAGCAGTTTGTTTTAATTATATAAAAGTGTATTTATTAAGTAAGCCAATTATAGAAGTTAAATATAAGCAGATTGTTTGGTGCCAGATGTGGTGGTACCTGCATGTAGACATTACTGTGTATGAATGTTATAATCAGGTTACACATGCTTATATAGATTCTTCAGAATGTCATTCAATTTCTGAATAAATAACATTTTAAATTAAGAATAAAGTCTGGAAAGGAAGGAAGGGAGATTATAGGAGTTAGCCTTTATTATAAAATCAACACAATTTCTTATCTTGTTGAGATATTAAAGAGCAAAAGTATTATACATTTAACATTGGTCTATATTCAGTACATAAAAATACTGGTGTTTATTGGTTTCTTAGAGAAAGCATTCTGAAATGTTACTCTCAGTAACCTTGAAAAAGTATCAGAAAAATAAATCTTTAACTTGTATATATTTGCATTTATGTATTTAAAAATAACCTTTTGTTTTTTATTTTTTAAGAGAAAAGGGCTAAATCTTTCCTTTGGTGTTAAAGCTAGGTTTTCTGCACTCAAATTTGATAAATTACGGTCCACTATCTGTAATAAAAGGAAAGAGATGCCTTTCTAAACTTGAATTACAGATTACCATATTCACAGCTTAGTTTAGCTAGAGTTAGCCTTGGGGCTAACTTTATCTTTGTTGGTCAGGTTCAATGCCACACATGTCTCATCCAGAGTATTTGTCTCAGATCTGATTTTGGTGGTTCCTGTTCCTCTTCTAGCTATTCTGAAAGATATGACCTGGAAGATCATAGTTCAAGTCCAACCTGACTAGCACAGTCCTTACTTAATTCCATTTCCAGTTAACCAGCAAAAAAGTTGGACAAGTCCTCTGATTAGAATCTTCTCCAGATGTTTTTTGTTTTTGTTTTCTTTTTCTTTTTTTTTTTTGTCAGTCGGGTTGAACACTGGGCCTGGCTTGGGCGCTGTCTCTGTACTCTTCAGCTCAAGGTGAGCACTCTACTGCTTGAGACACAGCGACACTTCTAGTTTTCTAGTGGTTTATTGGAGATAAGAGTCTCACTGACTTTCCTGCCCGGGATGGCTTGAATGCTGATCCTCAGATCTCAGCCTCCTCAGTAGCTAGGGATTACAGGTGTGAGCCACTGGCACCCAGCTTTTGTTTTCTTTTTCTACTTCTTCTCACCTGCTCTAGATCTATAGGTGTCATCTTTGTATTTCATTTGATAAGTATGAAATGTTACTCCTCTTTTAATTCAGAATCTTCTGAAATCCTCTTTTTTGTATTTATTCAATCTAGTTCTGTACCCTCTCCTCCCTCTCCAGTTTCAGGGTCAAACTCAATGTTTTGTGAATTTGAGGCAAGTGTTATACCTTGAACTACAACACCAGCCTTGCTCACTTCTTATTTACCTCATTTTAGATTTGAAACTTGATCATCCTTAATATTGTTAAAATATAAGCCTTTGTATAGAAATGGTTTTATAAAGCTTCTTTTATGTAAATATAGCACTAACAGATGTTATTTTTCAAATTATGTATTTAATTAGGACATTAATGTTCAAGTATTCTTGAATTTTGTCTTAACAGATTATAAGAGAAAATAGTATTTCCTTGAGTGAAATTGAATTGCCCTGCTCAGAGGATTTGAATTTGGAAACTTTGTCGTAAGTAGTATCAATAGATAAAAAAAATTATCTTTCCTACCGTCTATCGTGTAAATAAATTAAAATACAGGAGTACTATTGTCCTTGACTTATGTAAACCCCCATATTTTTGCCATTGTTTTTCATATGTCCACAAAATTGACTTGTTTATTTTAATTTTTTTTTTTTTTTGGGTCCGGTCATGGGGCCTGAAATCTGGGCCTGGGCACTGTCCCTCAGCATTTCAGCTCAAGGCTAGCGCTCTACCACTTGAACCACAGCGCCACTTCCAGCTTTTTTCTGTTTGCTTATGTGGTGCTGAGGAATCGAACCCAGGGCCTCATGTATGCAAGGCAAGCACTCTACCACTGAACCACCTTCCCAGTCCCTGACTTGTTTGTTTATTTATTTATTTAAATTTTTTTTGGCTCCGGTCATGGGGCCTGAACTCTGGGCCTGGGCGCTGTCCCTCAGCTCTTCAGCTCAAGGCTAGCACTCTACCACTTGAGCCACAGTGCCACTTCCAGCTTTTTTCTTTTTGCTTGTGTGGTGCTGAGGAATCAAACCCAGGGCCTCGAGCATGCAAGGCAAGCGTTGTACCACTGAGCAACCTTCCCAGCCCCCTGACTTGTTTATTTTAAAACGGTGTAAATCTCTTGTTCTCAAAACCAGTATTGAAGATATTGACTTGTATATTCTCTTTCATATTTTACATTTAGAAAATGGGCAAGAATTTTTAAACATTGTCCTTTCTTAACAGTGTAAAGCAAGAAGTGGACTTCATCAATATAGTCTTGTGGTGCTTCTGCTAAAAAAATATACAGAAATCTACTTAGTGGTTAAAGACATACTTGAAGCATTTCCAGAAAGATAGGAGCTAGTTAGCATGAATATTTGTTATTTCTATTCCAAGGTAATAGATGATAATGAATTTTTTTGTTGTTGTTGAAGGGGACTTGAACTCAGTATCTGGAGCTTTCACGCATTGGCTGACACTCTACCACTTGAGCCCCTGATAATGAATTTTAAAGAAAAAAATGACAATATTAACTTTCTCATACTCTTGTTTTCAGCCAAGCTCATGTCTACATAATTGCAGGAGCCTGTTTATCTCTCGGTTTTCGATTTGCTGGCTCAGAAAATTTGTCAGCATTTAACTGTTTGGTAAGAACCGTCTTGGTTTATTCTGCTCTATTTTCTTTCTATCATCACCTTCAAAGATGGTTCTTCTAATTTTCAATTTTCTTTTTCAGCATAAATTTGCAAAAGATTTTATGACTTATTTGTCTGCACCAAATGCTTCTGTAGTAAGTCTTTTTTATGTTTCTCTTTGGGAATAAATTAAACCTGAAAAAAGTTACTGATTTTCCTATTATTTATATGTTTCATCAAATATCTATTATTTGAGTTTAAAATGGGAGATTTGAAACATTGGCTCATTTCTGTATTTTTGTTCTGGGATATTAATTTGGTGAGGATATAGTTATAGTCTTTTGAAATGAGTAAATGAGAAAGTTTATAGCATTCAATGACTTTATGTTCTGTCTCAGTACTGAATGTTGGAAAGTTTTCTTTAAGAATTAGTATTTAGGGAAGTTTTAGTTGTTCTTGAATCATTATTGCTCTGATGACAGGAAGACAGGTCCATTCTTGCACATTGGAGCTAGCAAAATGCCTACAAAATTTTTCTTGTGCATGAAGATTGCCTTTATTTAATATTATATAATATACTATTAAAAAGTTAAGATTACTTTGTAATGTCTGAATTTCATTTGGGAAAATATATACAAAGGGAAAAAATTCAGAGAAAAATATCCAAATGTTAAATGCCAATTCTTACTGTGTGGTATAATTTGAAAATATTATTTTCTTTTTTGATACTTACTAGTTTGAATTTTCTACATTGAACTCCTATTTCTTAATCAGGGAAAATATTTATTTTACATTTTTTTAAAAAAAGAATCAAATATAGGCTTTTCCAAATGGCCATTCAGTTGTAGTAATGAGGAAGTGTGACAGTAGTTATAATAATATCATCTTTTTGTGTTACTAGACAGGTCCTTACAACCTGGAAACATGCCTGAGTGTGGTGCTGCTGTCTCTCTCTATGGTAATGGCTGGCTCTGGGAACCTAAAGGTTCTGCAGCTTTGTCGTTTCCTACACATGAAAACAGGTGGTGAAATGAACTATGGTTTTCACTTAGCCCACCACATGGCCCTTGGACTTCTGTTTTTAGGAGGAGGAAGGTAAAGAAATATGTATTTATTTCTTAATAAAAATATCTCATGCGTAAGATCTATAAAAGCAATGTAGCTATTTTTTCCTCCCCCAAAGTTTTTCTATTCTTTTATTCTTGCATTATCATATAAATGTTGGAATTTGTCAATTTTCATTCTAAATAATATGATAAAAAATGGATTGGAGGGCTGGCAGTGTGGCTTAAATACAGAGTGCTTGCTAAGCAAGTGAGCTCAAGGCCCTGAGTTCAAACACTAGTACTGCCAAGAAGAGGAACAATAAAAGTTATCTTGGGGCTTGGAATGTGGCTCAAGGATAGACAGTCTGTCTTAACAAGCACAGGCCCTGAATTTAGTACTGCCAAAAGTAAAGATTGTAATTGTATTTATTCTATGTATCAGCTTGAGGGAAGTTAAGTCTATTGAGTCTTTATAATCTGTGACTGGTTTGTTCATTTGATTAGCTCTTGTGTATGGGAACTGTTCTTGCTACAAGCTATATAAGCTTTTCCTTTTATGACTGGGCTTATAATTAGAAGTCATTTTTTCAGAATTGTAAAAATAAGATTTTAAGGTGAGTGTGCATTTTTTATCTCTTTTTATTTAGAATTAAGAGTAGTTGAAGAAATGGTATAAAAATTCTTGTCTACTTTGTGAATTTTTTGAATGTTTTCCTTTCAAAACAAGCCTGTTTTTTACTTTATGCTTTTAATCCCTCATCTATTATTCACATGGTATGAGTCTATTTATCCTTTTTTCATATGGACTAGATTTCCTCCCTTTCTGGTCCAGCCTTTTCATAACTTTTGGCTTTTCAGAAGTTATATGTACTCTTCAATGTTTTAATTTATCACAACATAGCTTACACATTGTGTTTGACCTATCAGCTTTTAACATTAACATCTTAAATTCAATTTTGAATTTTAGTTTATCAAAATATCACAGAGAAAAGGTGCCTATTCTTTGCACATGCTGGAATAGATACTTATCTTCGCTTTTTTTTTTTGGTACCGGACCTGGGGTCTGAACTTGGCCTGGGCATTGTCCTTGGGCTTTTTACGCAAGCCTACTGCTCTACCACTTGAGCCACAGCTTCACTTTTGGCTTTTTTGGTGGTTTATTTGGAGTCTCACAAAAAGAGTCTTACAACTTTTTTGCTCAGGTTGGCTTTGAACCCCAGTCCTCAGATCCCACTTTCCTGAGTAGCTAAGATTATAGGTATGAGCCATCTGTACCAGGCTCTTTGCTTAAAATTTTGAAATTTCTTCTTAACTCATTAACTATTTGAGTATGTTGGATGCTAAGCTCTTATTTAATAATTTCAATTATTTGAAAAGGTACAAGAAAGATTTGAACATGTATATATATAAGTATGTAAAATATATGTTTATGCAGAATAGATACAAAGGTGGTGTAAGGTGTTGTTTTGTAGCATATTCACTTCAAAATATTTGTAAGAAAATCTGTGAACTACTTACTAAAATGAACCAGAAAAATTCAACAGATTCTTTACTAAGAGAATATGATGTTTTTTTTGAATATCTTAATTATAGTAAAAGTTTAATAATATATAGGTATGATTTTATGTACATGCACATATATGGTTATCAAAACCCACCAAAGTGTACCCTTTAAATATGACAATTTATTGCATTTAAGTTCCACCTCAAAAAAAAAAAAAGCTGATTTTAAATAAGGTAAGGTCTGGGAATGGTGGTACATACCTGTAATCCCAACTATTTAGGAGGCAGAGATAGGAGGATCATAGTACAAGGCCAGTTTCAGGCAAAAGCATAAGACCCTATCAGAAAATTAAACTAAAGGCAAAAAGGGTTGGGTAGAGCACTTGTCTAGTAAATGCAAGGCTCTGAATTCAATCCCCTGTACTACCAAGAAAAGACAAAAAGAAAACAGAAAGGAACAATATCATGTTTAAAGAACTGACAAAACCACTGTATCTAGATGTGTGTCAACATCCAAAGTAGCACTTGTTTTACATGCTCTTTTTGAAATGGAGTGAAAATACAGGAGGCAAGAACCTAATTTTATTTTATTTTGTCAGTCAGGGGCTTGAACTCAGGGCCTGTGTGCTGTGTAGAAGCTTCTTCACTATAGACCAGTGGAGAATATGATGTTTGTAGAAAAACCTTATCATATTTATAAGAAAAAAATGATTTGTATTTAAAGGAATATTTGTAACTTTGGCCTTAACTCCATCATTTTAAAGGAATATTCATGTTTACAAAAACAGAAAAAAATGTTTAAGGTATCGAGAGCTCTGTATTTTAAAAGGAACCTAGAATATGGAGGCATATTTTATACAAGGTTATCAGTATTTTTAATTTCTAAGATTACAGTTCTCACTATTATGCTATTTTAGGTTAGTATCTTGCTTATTAATTCAGGAATTGAATTAATGATTCAAGAATTGAATTTGTTGGATGTTGCTTCTGCCTTAAAAAGGACATGATCTTGAAAGAGCTTAAGGTCTAAAGAAAAATAAAACATTCACACCATTGACACTATTGTATAAAACAAAGCATCTTACCCTGGTATAACGCCACACAAACCTCTACTTTTCTCTCAGCAATGTTTTGAGGCTGGGCATGGTGGCATGAGCCTATTGTCTGAGCTACTTGGAAGGCTAAGATAAGGAGAATCACTGGTGCAGGCTATCAGGCAAAAAAAAAATTGTGAGATATTGTCTCACAGATAGAAAGTCTGGGCATGGTGGTATGTACCAGTTTTTGCAGCTACAGAAAGAAGTGTAAACATGGAGGATTGTGGCCCAGATTGACATGTTCAAAAATTGAGACCTTATCTCAAAAATAATGAAAGCAAAATAGAACCAAATGTTTTCTGCCTAAATGTGCCTAACGAACTCTCTCTGTTCAAACCCCAGTACCACCAAAACAATAGTGCCTTGAAGTTATGCACAGAAGGAAATTAATAATTTCTGTTTCTAATTTGCTTTGCAGGTACTCTTTGAGCACATCAAACTCTTCCATTGCTGCTCTTCTCTGTGCTCTTTACCCACATTTCCCAGCTCATAGCACTGACAACCGGTGAGTCTAACAATTCAGTCTTCAACCTGGCATTTTCTCCAGTTCTTTAAGGAGATAATTGTTTTGTATTTTTGTTTCAATCTCCAGATTAGCATTGTTTTGCTCTTTTGTTCTTGAACTTATTTCCACAATTAAATTCTTTTTTTTTATTGTGAAAATACCGTACAGAGGGATTACAATTACATGGGCAAGATAATGAGTACATTTCTTGTCAATCATTGTAGCCTCCTCCTTTGTTTCCCCTTCCCATCCCTTCCCATCCTCCCCCCACCCCCCCACCCAATCCTCCCTGCTCCCCCCACCAAAGTTGTAAAGTTCGTTTTTCCACATAATGACTTGTACATCTCATTGTTGAAAAATATGGAATGCTTCACAAATTTGTGTGTCATCCTTGCGCAAGGGCCATGCTAATCTTCTCTGTATCCGTTCCAATTTTAGTATATGTGCTGCCGAAGCGAGCACCACAATTAAATTCTTTAAAAAGTATTTCTTACAAAGTTGTAGACTATAAGACAAATTTAAATATTTGATATTTACGTTTCCACTAACCCAGGCCTGTAGAATTGTAGTAAAATGAGAAATAGGGCAAATTATCTTTAGGGATAAATTTATCAGCAAGGTAGCCAAGGAAAGAACCAGATGCTACCTCTTCTGCTATAATTGTTTAATTCAAGATTAAGGAGATTGATGAATTTCCTCTTTTTTGAGAAACCTTGTATGTATGGAAGAGACATAAATGCAAAAAAAAAAAAATCCTTAAGGGTTTAGAAGTGGCAATCAACATGACATCAAATCATACAGGGGCAGTCAAATTGCAGAGAAACTTTGCTTTTAAGAGCAGAGTGACTTCCTTATCCCCAGAAGTGACCAGCCAGAGCAGAGCACTTTTCACCTAGAGGGGAAGGGACGGAAACAGTTTCTCATAAGTGACATCTCTGATAACCACCGTGCTAACGATGGCATCCCTGTTGTCTATTTAGAGAAGGGCCAGAGTACTTAAGAAACATGACTGCTTTACAAAATAGCCTGATCTTAAATCCAGAGTGCCAGCAGGTAGAATATAGGAACATGGTTGCTAATTTATACAGCAATGACATTTAGCATAGCTTCTGTAAAATGTTTTGAGTGAGGGTCAGTTTTGGGTAGCTGCATCCCAAGTTATTGCTGGTCATGTTATCTGTTGGTTTAATTATCTTGAAGAAATTTAGAAATAAGGATCAATAATCTTTTTAAGCATTAAATACTTCTTTCCTATAAATTTTATTTTTAGTAGTATTTTTAGAAAACTTGGTCATAGCCAGGTGTTAGTGGCTCATGCTTGTAATCCTAGCTATTCAGGAGCCTGAGTTACGAGGATCACTGTCCAAAGCTAGTCTGAGCAGGAAAGTTTATAAGCTTCTTATCTTCAGTTAACCAACAAAGAGCCAGAAGTGGGGCTGTGACTCAGAGTAGTAGAGTGCTAGCTTTGAGCAAAAACTTTCAGCGACAGCCCCCAGGTCCTGAGTTCAAGCTGCAGGACCAGTATGCGTGCATGTATGTGTATGCGCGTGTGCTCATGTGCGAACACACACACACATGCTTTTTTTTGTCTTTTGTAGGTTCTTTTAAATGTAAAACTTTTGTGCATTTTCACTCAAAAATATAAAATTTAAACCTTAAGTGATTTTTTAAAGTGTAAAGTACATATATACACATGTTATTCTCCCCATTGACTTTTGTTATGCTGTGTCTTTCAATGGACAAGTATTTATTTGTGTACTGGTGTGGATACAGAGAAGAGTTTTACTATCTGAGAAAAACTGGCATCTTTCCTTACAATCTTTTAAGGAAGGGGAAAAAAATTTCAGTGTTAAGCAGAAAGATATTTGAGAGGGACTGATTTTATCAGTGCTTTGTTTATTAGTGAGTATTTTTATGTTAAGACAATTTATATACTGTATTGTACAACCTTTTAACTGAATATGAAGTTAAAAATATTCTTGGGTCAGTGATCAGATACTTTTTTTTAATATATAATTTTTGTTGTAAAGATACTGTACAGAGGGGTTACAGTTACATGAGTAAGGTAATGAGTACACTTCCTATCAAGCATTGTTACCCCCTCCTTTGTTTTCCCCCTGACCGTCCCTTCCCTCCCCAATTCCTCCTCCCACTCCCCCTGAAGTTGTAAAGTTCATTTTCAACATAGTGTCTTGTACATCTCATTGTTACAGTGGGTCAACCTTTATCCTTATTTCAGCATTCTGTTATTTCCCTTCCCCTCCCCAAGTTAGAAAAACGTATATACAAGATGCAGGGCACAAGAATCAAATACAGTGAAAACAGGGGTTATACCATGGGGAAAGAACATACGAAAGAAATAAAAATATCACATAGTACATTGTAAGTACATTAAAAACAACAGCAAGAAAGATAAAACCTCTTGTGTCCCTATCTTGGGGTTCATTTCCCTTAAAATCATGTTATATGGTCATATATACATAGCTTTTAACCTTTTCTGCTCGTCCTAGACATATACTAGTTATTGCAAATAAGGGAAACCATGGGACCTATGTTTTTCTTTGGGCCTGGCTTACTTAATGTAATTTTTTCCAAGTCTTTCCATTTCCTAACAAATGGGGCAGTGTTGTTCTTTCTGATGGAAGCATAGAATTCCATTGTGTATACATATGTCACATTTTCTTGATCCATTCATCTACTGAGGGGCATCTGGTTTGGTTCCATATTTTAGCTATGGTGAATAATGCTGCAATAAACGTAGTTGTGCTGGTAGCTGTAGTATGGCCTTGTTTGTGATTGTTTGGGCAAATGCCCAAAAGTGGAATTGCTGGAGCATAGGGGAGCTCTATGTGGAGTTTTTTGAGGAACCTCCATACTACTTTCCAAAGTGGTTGAACAAGTTTACTCTCCCACCAACAATGCAGTAGGGTTCCCTTTTGGCCACATTCCCTCCAATATCTGTTGTTATTAGATTTCTTGATTATAGCCGTTCTAACTGGGGTGAGGTGGAATCTCAATGTTGTTTTGATTTGCATTTCTTTTATGGCTAGAGAAGTTGAGCATTTCTTCATGTGTCTATTAGCCATTCTTATTTCCTCTTCAGAGAAGTCTCTCTTAAAGTCTTTAGCTCACTTATTAATCAGGTAGTTTGGGGATTTGTTGTTGTGGGATTTAATGTTTTGGGTTCTAAGTATGTCTAGATATGAGTTCTTTGTCTATTGTATGGCTAGTGAAGATCTTCTCTGTGTATATTGAACCAGCTTTGCATCCCTGAAATGAATCCTGTTTGATCATGGTATCTGATTTTTTTGATTGGCCAAAATTTTGTTGAGACGTTTTACATCCATGTTTATCAAAGAAATGTTTCTCTTTCTTTGATGAGTCCCTGCCTGGTTTTGGGATGAGGGTTATGATGGTTTTATAGAAAGAGTTTGGTAGTAAACTTTCACTTTCAATTTCATTAAAGAGTTGGAGGAGTATAGGTGTGAGTTCTGCTTTGAAGCCTTGTAGAATTCAGCTGTAAATCCTTCCGGTCCTGGGCTTTTCTTGGGTTGGAGGTCTCTTATTGCTGTTTCTATTTTGATGCTTGATGTGGGTTGGTTAATTTGGTTTAAATCATCTTGGTTTAGTTTGGGCATGTCAAGATGAAAGACCCCCGACTTCGTGTATCTCCCCAAATCAGAGCCTCCCTGCCCCAAGCACCAGTCAGACCACACCAGATGCAAAGGCAAGAGGATTTTATTTGGGCATGCCCAGGTTCCCAGGTGCACGTGACCTCGAGATCCGCAAGGTTCGGGTCAGTGTCTGGGAACCCCGAGCAGTCCCGGGGGTGGTCCTTTTATGGGACCCCTCTGTCCGTTACAGGAGCGCCCGCGCTTTTTCAGCCAGTAATTTTAAAGTGTTACAACCTGGTCTGCACGCAGGCAGCCAATCCTTTTAAAACAAATCATATGTTTTAGCCAATTACTGTTCGAGGGGGTCCCTCGGTGTACGTTGTACGTCTCCGGCCCTTGGTATGAGGAAATGACCTTTACCCGAGATAGCACCTGTGGATGGTTTCCGTCAGGGGAGGAGGCCAGCTTTAGAGTCGGCCAGCAGGATGTGAGCTTATCAATTAACTTGTGAGGTTACTGCTTAATTACCAGGAGAGTACGGGGTAATGTAATTTTTAGCAAAGCATGTTACAGAAGCCAGAAATTGCTTGGTTAGACATGAAACTCGGCTCCCTGGCAAAGGGGCTAGAGGCCTGGTGGTTTGAGGAGGGGGTCTTTCAAATATTTGCTAGAAATTCTTCCGTTTCTTCCAGATTCTCAAACTTAAATAACAGAAAGGTTTGAGAAATAGTCTTTTATGATGTTCTGAATCTTGGTTGTTTCTGTGGTGATGTTTTCATTCTCATCTCTTGAGTTTGTTTATTTGGGCATGTTCTCTTCTTTTTATGATAAGATTTGTTAAGGGTCTATCAAGTTAATTTTTTTGAAGAACCAACTCTTTGTTTTGCTCATTCTACTTTTTTTTTTTACTCTTAATTCCTGTAATTCTGATTTAATTTTAACTGTTTATTTCTGTCTACTTGATTGGGGTTTAGCTTGTTGCTCTTTTTCAAAGAGCTTCAGATGCCTCATTAAATTGTTTCAGATCTCTCCAATTTGTTGATATAGGAACTCAGAGCTATAAACTTGCCTGAGTACTGCCTTTGCTGTGTCCCAGAAGAGCTGGTAATTTGTGTGTTCATTTTGTTAAATATCATGAATTTCGTTTCTGATCTCTTCCATGACCCACTTGTGGTTCAACAGTGTGTTGTTCAGCCTATGTGTTACAGGATTTTCTTTAGTGGCTTTTGGTGTTGAATAACTTTTGAACTAGGCCCTGAGAGGAGACTGGAGATGGGACAGCTTCTTTACAGGTTTTGTTTTTGTTTTAGGGATTTTAGAAAGAAAAAAAAAAGCAAACAAAAACCTTGGCTCCAACCAGCCCTATTCTTGGAATGAAAAGAATGCCTCTGGGTCCCCCTCCCCTTAACTTAACCTACCTTCATTGTTCTGTTAAAGACTGACCGATTAAACAGGTAGCCAGTAATCTGGCTCATGCTGGCATGCTGGCTGGCATGCTGGCTGTTAGGTTTTTAAAGAGGTAGCCGAGTAAGAACTGCACCAGCACGCACATGGTATTCAGGTAAGGGGTAGGTTTATTCAATAGACCTGCTGGGACCAGGCAAGGTTGGCACTCCACGTGGCTGGGAAAGGCCTGGGAATGAGAGAGAGCTGGGAAGAGAGGAAAGAGCTAGAAAAGAGCAGCGAGAGAGGTAAGAACAGAGAGAGAGAGCTAGAATAGAACAGAGAGAGCTAGTTAGCAGAGAGAGCTAGAAAAGAGCAAGAGAGCAGAGAGAGCAGAAAAGAACTGAGAGAGCGAGAAAGAGCTAGAAAAAGGCAGAGAGAGCACCTGGGCCTGCGCTAGGCCTTATCTAGATTAAGGGAGGGGAAAGGTGTGGCCACATCAAATTTAGATGTGACCTCAGCGGGTGCAGATGTGACCTCTTCCAGGTGTCCCAGTTGCCTAGGTAACGAAGGTACTGGGTGGAGACTTTGCTGCGAGGAGGGTGAGTCTGCTTGCCATCCAGGGGCGGACCTCACACCGGCGACATCCCAAGTTTACTATAAACTCCACCTTTTTCACATGCTTATGTTAAACTCCACTAAACTCCTTTGTGTATGTTTACCTTAAGCTCCGCTTTACCATTGAATTCGCCAGTCATTTAAACCAAAAGTGATAGGCTGGTTTAAACAGCCATTATGTGACAAAGTGTAACCTCCCTGGCCACCTTCTGTGGTCTGGTATGACTGTGCAATCTTTTGGGTGTGTGAAAACCTCATTGGGCGCCTACGTGACCAGGCTTCACCTTGTGATTTTTGCCTTTAAAAGCCTAAGCACGTGGGCCGCTCAGGGTCGCAGTATCAGCTTCCGAGCCTGTGCTGCAGCCCTGGCCGGTCAGTGTAGGAACCTTCTCAATAAAGTTGCTTCTTTAATATCAACTTTGTTGCAGTGGGCTCTGTCACTCAGGACGACTAGGTGGACTTGCCTGCCTGAGTAGGGGTCTTCCTACTACACTTTATTCCCTAGTGGTCTGAGAGAATGCAGGGCATAATTTCAGTATTTCTTATTTTGGACAAATTTGCTTTGTGACCTACAATGTGCTCTATTTTGGAGAATGTTCTGTGTGCTGCTGAGAAGAACGTGTATTCTGATGCTGCTGGGTGAAATATTCGGTAGATGTCTGTTAAGTCTAGTTGAGGAAGATTGACTGTGTCCTCCAGTTTGGAGTTGCTGTGATGGGGCTAGGTTGTAGGTAGATTTGAGGACTGTCAGCATTCAGTAACTTTTTCCTGAGGGGCTAGCTCCTGAAACACTCACAGAGCCCTGGAGTGATTCTCAGGATTTTTGTTTACTGAGTTTTAGTTGTTTTTATTTTACCCCCTCTTGCTACTGGGTCTCCAGTCATGTGGGTGAGGCAGCCTGTGGCTCTGTTTACCCAGAGAAGAAGTCACTCCTCCCTGAGCGGAGCTATCTCTGTCTGGGAAGGGCAATTTTCTCCTGAGGTGTAGCTGAGCCCTGCAGGTTAGTTTCCTTTGACCTGTTGAATGGCTTCTATTGTCTTCTTCCAAGGCTTGAGTTACTTGCTAGCTGGTCTGGCCCAGTCTTTGTCAGTATCAAAGATGGAGTTCTTCTCCACTGGTGGGGGAGGGACTACCTTACCACTGCTGTTCTGTGAGAAGGAATGAGGTGGTCTTGTGGGGGTACTCACGCCTTTCCCTTGTTTCTGGGCTGTCCATGATCTGGAAACAATCTGTGGTCAGCAGGATGAAGATTTCTGCTCCTTGTCAGTCCTTGCTGGCAAGTAGAATCTGCTCACACACAGCCTCTGGTGCCTTTGTTCCAGGCTCTCTCTGTTTATATGGCAGCTGCTGCAGCAGTCAGTGTGGCTGCTGCAGACACTGGCAAGTGCTCGAATCTGTCTCCAACCCAGCTGCCTGAATTTTTTCTCTCTGGCCAAACTCTGTACTATGATGGTACACTTGGTGTGACTCTCTAGCCTTGGATTTTTCACTGGAACACTAAAACTGGTTTCTCTGCGAGAGCTTGTTTAGTCCCCAGCTTCTCCTCTGCCATCTTCTTCCACACATAGATACTTTTTAAAGGATCATTTCTTCATATTTCTTATTGAACTTGACACCTGACTTTAAGAGTACCCTTCATAAAGATTAAGTCAGAAAAAGAAAACTATGGCTTTTTAAATGTGAAGCTCCTACTCAAACTCTTGCCCTCTGGAACATGTAGGCAACAGATTTTCTACAATGGCTGTCACTTCCTCTCTGTATTTCCTGTGTCCAGGTATCATCTCCAGGCTCTCCGGCACCTGTATGTGCTGGCTGCAGAACCAAGGCTTCTAGTACCTGTAGATGTGGATACAAACACACCCTGCTACGCCCTCTTAGAAGTCACCTATAAGGTAACTCTAGCTTTTATTTATAATTTTATTACCATTCAATCATCTTTACAGGTGAAAACATTTCAGAAGTGATGTCTAGTAAAGCTGACAGTAATGAATGGCGCTTCCCAAGTTATTGTACGTTTGCCAGGCCATATACATACATTTATAGTCTCTGACTTTGTATTGTAGACCTTCTTAGTTGTTCTTTTGTCTCTAAAGTTTATAGTTCATAAATATTCTTGGTAACTTTACATGGCCAATACCGCTGTTCTGAATAGTTGAGTTAGAAATACTCCTAGATCCTTTTTTGAAAGCCCTAAATTGAATGAATATTCAGATGCACAGATCAATCTCAGGTCATATAGCCTTCCATCAGTAAGCTTTTTAGTATCTCCTCTGTATCAAAGCTGTGCTGGCCTCTGGTATGGAAATGCAGTGACATTGTTACAGTTCTTAAGGAATTTGTATCTATTGGGGAGCCAGGTTTGGATGTATTGAGAATAGAGTTGTGAAAATGAGAGGGACATGTATAGTGCGAAAGTGCTTTTGTCTAGCTGTGAGGCTTGGGCATTTGTCACAATAGACTGGGCTGAGATTTGTTATCTTAAGTGGAGCTTGTTTTCAACATAGAAGACAACATGTGGGCTGGGAAGTTGGCTCAGTGGTAGAGCTAGAGTGCTTGCCTTGCATGCCTGAGGCCCTGGGTTCAATTCCTCAGCACCACATAAGCAAAAGAAAAAAGCCGGAAGTGGCACTGTGGCTCAAGTGGTAGAGCGCTAGCCTTGAGCTGAAGAGCTGAGGAACAACGCCCAGGGTTCAGGCCCCACGACCAGACCCCCCCCCAAAAAAAAGAAGACAACATGTATGTGAAAAGCCCAGAGGCCATGGCAGTGTGTCCTGTTGGTACTGCTGGTTGGTGAAGGACCAAGGCTCCAAGTGGTGGGGGAAGAAGTATGCCCTGTAAAAGAATTAGAAATAAGATTTGAGTGTCAGAGAGGATTTTCTTTAAGGAAGGGGAAGATGAATAGTGGATGTTTTTTCTTTGTAGTTCCTATCAAGTAAATAGTGGCTCTACTTTAACTTTTTTATAAAGGGCACTCAGTGGTATGAACAAACCAAAGAAGAGCTGATGGCTCCTACCCTTCTTCCAGAACTCCACCTTTTAAAGCAGGTAAATTGGGCATGGTTTGGGGGAGTCAATCAAAGGGATAAATTGAAAGAATGGTGTAGCATTATAGGTGACTGCTTGGAAAAGTCTGCCTTCTCCATGCTTTGTATAACACAGGAAAGCAGCAGCAGGAGGAGCAGTCATGAATAGCAGGGCAGGGCTGTCCTGAGAGGTGTTGTGCCCTCAAAACATGATTCATATGCAATTTTCTTCAGGAAACACAATTTAACAACTTTTTCCTGACTATTTCTGAGGTACTACTTTTGAAAGGCGTGGTTTCAGTTTTTTGTTGACTGTTTGCATTTATCTTGGCAGATTAAAATTAAAGGCCCAAGGTACTGGGAACTGCTCATAGATTTAAGCAAGGGAACAGAACACTTGAAGTAAGTATATTGCAGACTTTTTCCTTTAAACATGGGGAAGTAAAATTATAGATTACCTAGAATGTTGCTTATCATTCTTCAGTCTCTTCCAAGATAGTACGTAGGATGTATTGGATAAAATGTTCTATGTCCTTGAAATTGAGTTTTTATTACAATGTGAAACTTTTCATTTGGAAATCATGCTCTGAACTGGGTAGAAAATATCTAGCCTGAGGGCAAAATAAGGCCTACAAGTCATTTGACACATGAGAGGCAAAGCTTTTTTTTGGATCAGCTGCTTGTAATGTCTGCCTGTATTGATAATTTTGTAGGGCTGGTGAGTTATGTTAAAATACTCAAATGATTCTTGGCAGAAAAAAGATTTTCCATTCTTGCTTTGAAACGGTTACACTTTTCATCTAGAAATTTAGCTTGAGAAAGTATTGGAAAATAGGGCTGAGTCAAACACCTGTTGTTCATACCTATGATTTAAGCCACTTAGGAGGCTGAGATCTGAGAATTATGGTTTGAAATCAGCCTGAGCAGACAAATCCAAGATACTTTTTTTTTTTTTTTTTTGTCGTGCGGCTTGAACTCTGGGCCTGGGCGCTGTCCATCAGCTCTTCAGCTCAAGGCAAGCGCTCTACCACTTGAGCTACAGTGCCACTTCCGGTTTTCTGGTGGTTTATTGGAGATAGGAGTCTCACAGTCTCTCCTGCCCGGGCTGGCTTTGAACCGCGATCTTCAGATCTCAGCCTCCTGAGTAGCTAGGATTACAGGCGTGAGCCACCAGCGCCCAGCCAAGAGACTGTTATATCCAGTTAATCAGCAAAAAGTTGGAAATGGACACATACCTCAAATAGTAGAACACAAACCTTGAGTGGAAATTCCAAATGAGAGTATGAGGCCCTGAGTTCATCCCCCAAAACCAACACAAAATGAAAAAAGAAAATAAGACTTACGTGTCTGTTCACTAAGGGAACTTCATTGTAACACCAGTGTTTGTCAGATATTTCTTTACTATTGTCTTTATTGTTGTCTTATTAACATGTTTTAATTAAGATTATGGTAGATTGTTCTTGAGTGGAAACAGTTATATTCATACAATAACTTCAGCATGTCAATAATTTTATACCTCATGTCATATGTAAACCAAAAAGTTTACATATAGAAGTTTTTATAGCTTGGTCTTTGTATTTTCCCATCATTTAGTGGCAAGTTTCTGTATTACTGTCTTTATATTTACATTATTTTCTTTTTGCTACAGCCAGTTAATAGCTCCTTAGTGCCTCTAGTGTCTAATTCATGCTAAGGGACAGAGGGTATACCAACAAGTGTTAGATATTAACAGTACATAATCAATATTACCTTTAAAACTTAGACTTGAGCAAATAGAATTCTTTCTATTTATTAACAAGTCCTGTGAATCTGGACTTTTAGGTTTTCTTATTTACTGCAGGTTTTCTTGTATGGACTGATTTAATTGTAGACACAGTGAATAATGGTGGAGAATGATGCAGACTTTATTTCCTTTAAACATGGTATTGGAAAACACCATTTCTATCTGAGAACTGCCAGTAATAATACCTCCTGTTAAATTCATTATTGTTAATTAATTTTCTTTCAGGTCCATTCTTGCCAAGGATGGGGTTTTATATGTTAAGCTAAGGGCAGGCCAGCTCTCCTACAAAGAAGATCCAATGGGATGGCAAAGTTTGTTGGCTCAGACTGTTACAAACAGGAATTCTGAAGCCCGGATTTTCAAGGTAGTATTGATTAGTGTAAACTGAAAGACCAGAAGTAATAGGCCACATCCCTGTAGCTTTTCCTCTTATTGCTGCATATTGTAGAGCCTGATTGACATTGGGTTTCTTTGATGTTTTATGTGGCAGCCATAGTAAAATAGGTACAGTCTGTCTGTACTCTAGGAAGTACAAGTCACAATAAATCTTTATACTGTAATTTTACCTATTAGTCTTTAAATTAGTCATGTTTTACTTAATATATATAAAAAATAATTTTTTTTTGCAAGTTGCCAGTTAGCATTAATTTCTTATTTTATTTATTTTTTGGTGCCAGTGCTGGGGTTTGAAATCAGGGTCTGGGTACTGCCCCTTAATATTTTTGCTCAAAGCTAGTTCTGCTTCTGGCTTTTTGCTGATTAATTGGAGATAAGGGTCTCATGGACTTTGAATCTCAGTCCTTCCTGAGTAGCTAGGATTATAGACATGAGCCATTGGAGCCTAGCGGCACTAATTTTTTTTTTTAATTTACTACTAATTCTTATTAGTTACTTTCTTTTCTTTGTCTTTGTCTTTTTCTTTTTCTCTTTTTCTTTTTCTTTTTGGGTCAGGTCGTTGGGCCTGAACTCTTGGCCTGGACGCTGTCCCTCAGCTCTTCAGCTCAAGGCTAGCGCTCTACTACTTGAGCCACAGCTCCACTTCTGGCTTTTTTCTTTTTTGCTTATGTGGTGCTGAGGAATCGAACCCAGGGCCTCATGCATGCAAGGCAAGCACTCTATCACTGAGCCACCTTCCCAGCCCCCTTCCTCTCCTCTTTTCTCCTTTTTTGGTCTTGGGCTTGAACTCTGGGCCTGGGCACTATTCCTCAGCTCTTCAGCTCAAGGTGAGCATTCTACCACTTGAGCTACAGTGCCACTTCTCGTTTTCTGAGTGGTTTATTGGAGATAAGAGTCTCAGGAGTTTCCTGCCTAGGTGGCTTTGAACTGCGATGTTCAGATCTCAGCCTGCTGAGTTAGCTAGGATTATAGGTGTGAGCCACCGACACCTTTTTTTTTTTGAAATATCAATCTGTTGTAAAAATCTCCTTTTTCATCTCTATTGTATATCTCAAGTCTTCTTTCCTTCTTTAGTATGCCTAAGGATTTGTCTTCTCAAGAAACCTATTCTTTGTTCATTGGTCCTTTATATTATTCTACTCCGCCTGACTCCCAAGGCATCTAGTTTCCTGACTTGTTCACTCAGCTAGCATCTATCACACATCTAGCACAGGTTTGTTTTGTTTTGTTTTCCCTGATTATTTTGGAGATGGAGTCTTGAAGACTTTCTGTTTGAGCTGGCTTTGAACCTGGATCCCCCAGCTCTCAGCCTCCTGAGTATATAGGATTACAGATGCCCAGACTTTGTATTGTTCTTTTAGTCTCTTAATTCTGCCTAGATCTTCATTATTTCTTTCTGTCTACTAATATGGTGTTTCATTTATTTTTAATTTTCTCTGAACTTAAAATGCACCATAAAGTTATTTATTGGCGATATCTATGATTTTCAATGTAAGTACTCATATAAATATTCCTGTTAGAATTGTGTTTGCTCTATCCCCAAAGTTCTGGTAATTTGTATTTTTTAATTTCACTGTATGTATATAAAAATTTTCTCTCATTTTTCAGTGACCTGCTGATCATTGTAAACTGTGTTCTTCAGTTTCCATGTTTTCCCATAGTTTCTGTGTTTTCTCTGTTGCTTTCGACTTTTATTTCATAAAAATCCCCCCCCCTTTTTTTTTTGGTGTTGGCACTGGGGTTTGAACTCCAGAGTCTGGGTGTTCGCCTTTATCTTCTGGATTTTGCTGGCTAATTGAAGAGTCTTGCAGACTATAGTCTGTGCTGGCTCTGAACTACAATCTGTACCTCTTAATCAGTCTCCTGAGTAAGTAGAATTATAGGAGTGAGCCACTGGTGCCTGGCAACCTTTTCCTTCTTAACTTGAGAGGTTTTCTGCGTTACTGAATTAATAATATTTGAGTGGTTTTTATTTCTTATTTGTTTATTCATTTTTCTAGTGAGATTTGTTTTTTCCTGAGCTGTCATGCCTGCATAGCACTTCCTTCCTCTTCTGTGTATAGTGTTCAAGTATCTTCCACATTGCTGGCTTATTTGGTATGGATTGCTTCACATTTATGCTTAGCATGGGAGGTCTTTATTTCTCTTTTAATTTTAAAGAAAAATTTAACTGGGCATGATGGTATTGGTTGGCAGTTGCTTAGAATCCTTTAATCCCTGCTCTCTTCTGGTCTTTAGGGTTTCTGCTGCTTCTTATTCCATTTTCAGTCTTGAACCCTGAGTGATAACCTGCTTTTGCCCCTAGTTTTTTTTTTTGTGGTAAAATATACACAACATAAAATAGATTGTTTTAGCTATTTTTAAGTATAACATTAAGTGGTATAAAGTATACTGATATTGGTGGTGTGTGTGTGTGTGTGTGTGTGTGTGTGTGTGTGTGTGTACACGTGCGTGCACTGGTACTGGGGCTTGGACAATGTCTCTCAGCTTATTTTTGCTCTAGGCTGGTGCACTACCACATGAGCCATACCTGAGCCATACCTCCACTTCCTGTTTTTTGCTTGTCAATTGGAGATGCATGTTATGGACTTTCCTGCCTGGGCTGGCTTTAAATCAGAATCTCCAGATCTCAGCCTTCTGAGTAGCTAGGATTATAGGCATGAGCCACTGGCTTATAACCATTGATAAGTTTTTTTTTTATTAAAATACGTTTTTTATTGTAAAAATACTATACAGAGGGGTTACAGTTACATGAGCAGGTAATGAGTACATTTCCTATCAAGCATTGTTGCCCCCTCCTCTGTCTTTCCCCTACTATCCCTTCCCTCCCACCTATACAACTACACCCCCTTTCCCCGCAATTGATATTGTTAACTCTGCATTTCTCTTATCTACCCTTTGCTTTCTGCCTTAGTGGTGTCTCCCCTGTATTTGGAGTCATCTAATATTTGTCCTTTTGTGACTGGGTTGAGGGATACTTTTTTCTCTCTCAGTAACAATTATAGCCTATAGTGGACTTTTCGTTAGATATTGAATGAGGGAGAAAAGAAAGTCTTTTGGGGGCAAGTTGTTTAAGAAAGACCTGCTTATTATTGGCCTTTTGGTACATAAATAACATATTTCTTTGTAAAGAAAAACTCTTGAACTTCTTCAAACAGATTGATGAAGTTCTGGTAAGTTGGAGCCATCTTGAGTTTTGTGGGAAGATTGTGTGAAAAGGGGGAGGTAGAGTTCTTAAAATTACATGCATTACAGTTTAAGCAGAAAGGAAATAGTCTCAATTACATTATTGATGGTTGATTTTCTTTTTTAGCCAGAAACAGTTTCATCATTCACTTCTGACCCAGCACTTCTGTCATTTGCTGAATATTTTTGCAAACCATCTGTGAACATGGGCCAGGTATGTATTATATGCTTTGCTGAATTCCAGAACTACAATTTGTTATTATTTCTGTCTGTAAATCACCAAAACTGTAATATCCCCATCAGTCTTTTTGATTGATGACATGTCTCAAATGTATCACATGATTTTTGCTTGGCAAATACACATTTTAAAAATATTAAATTTAATAACTTTCTACCTTAATAGGAGAAACAACTTAAGATTTCTAAGACACTAATTTGGATGAGTAAGAGTTTATGTTTCTTAAACTGATTTATATATTCTCTATATATTTCTTTCCTCCTTATACTACAATATTTCTGTTAATAATACAATTCTTGTCAGGATTTCCATGATGTTTAATGGATCTTTGCTTTAATCTACTGTACAGACAGAGAATGAGTTTATGTAGAAATTAAATGATGTAGTATTGAAGCCTGGCTTGTACAGTGTATGGCCTGGAGAAAACTTTCAGCCTCCCCAAGATAATTTCCTCATTTCTAAAATTAAGGTTGTAGTAGAACTACCTTGTAGCATTGTTTGAGGTTTAAGTGAAATAACTTTACCCTCTTACTTGCTGTGTGTATTTACTAGATACTTTGCTGAGTACGTGATGTAGTTTTCTTATTTAATTCTTAGCCTAGGGAATAGGTACATTGTTATTATTCTGAGTTTACAGATAAGGAAACGGGTCCTCAGAGCTGTCACATGAGGATCACATAGCTAGTTAGGAGATCAGAGAGGTCTCTTGTGCTTGCAAGGCATAGTCTACCATTTCAGTTATACCCCTAGCTGTAATTGGATTTTTTTTTTAATACATTGATTGTACAGATGGTTTTACTTGGATTCTGTATATGTATATATTTTGTTACATTTCTCCCTCTTTATTGCTTTCTTTTTCTTTCTTCTGTTTTTAACAGTATTTAGTGACTATTGTTGTTAGTGACTTATGCCATCTGCATACATAAACACAATGTATTTTATTCAGCTACTGTCATTCTCTCTTCCTCCCTTCATCTGGTCCCCCAACCAGTTCCACATTTATATCTACATGACAGATATAATATTCATACAAAAAAAACCATGGTATTTGTTGTTTTGAAACTATTTTGATTAACATATTGATGTCCAATTCCATCCATTTTCCTACAGATGACCTAATTTTATTCTTTATGGCTGTGTAATATTCCTTCTTGTGTATATATACACCACTTTTTATTTATCCATTCATCAGTTGAAGGGCATATAAGCTCTTGACTCCATAGCTTGTCTGTTGTGAATAGTGCTGTGATAAACATAGGTATGTAAGTATATCTATTGAATCCTGATTTGCATTCTGTTGAACATAGGCCCAAGAGTGGTATCATTGGACACTGCTTTTTTTAGAAGGACTTTCATACTGATTTTCTTAGTGGTTGCACTAGTTTACATTCCAACTCATTCTAGACAGTATTAGTTGTTGTTTGTATTCTGGTAAGTCATTTTGACTGGGATGAGATGAACTCAGTGTCATTTTGATTTGCCTTTCCTTTATATTCAGGAATATTGAGTGTTTCTTGATGTGTTTATTGACCATTTGTGCTTTTTAAATTTTTTGAGAATTACCTGTTCAGTTGATTTGCCCATTTAGTGGGTTGGTTCTTTTGGAGTTTAGTTTTTTTTTTTTCACTCTTTATGTATTTTAAAATTGTTTTCTTCTACATTTTCCAGTTTGATAGAGGAGTGTAAGTTTTCAAAATATTCTTTAATGATTTTCTGAATTTCATTGATATCTGTTGCACTATATCCTTTTTCATCTCTTGGCTTTATATTCTGGTTATTAATCCCTTGTCAGGTGAATAGATAGAAACATTTTTCTCTTATTTTGTAAACTGTCTTCATTCTAGTGACTCTCTGCTTTTCATTGTGCAATTTTTTTTTGGGGGGGGGTCCAGTCCTGAGGCCTGAACTCTGGGCCTGGGCACTGTCCCTCAGCTCTTCAGTTCAAGGTTAGCACTCTACCACTTGAGCCACCGAGCCACTTCCGGCTTTTTTCTTTTTGCTTATGTGGTGCTGAGGAATCCAACCCAGGGCCTCAGGCATGCAAGGCAAGCACTCTACCACTGAGCCACCTTCCCAACTCCCTACAATGTTTTTAAAAATCTTGATGCAATTCTATTTGTCAGCCTTTGCTGAGCTATTGGAGTCCTATTTAAGAAGTTATTGCCTATGCATATATATTGTCCAGGATTTTCTTGTACTGGTTTCATAGTTTTAGGTCTGACATTAAGAGTTTTGATCCATTTTGAACTGAGTACAGGGCAGTAGTCAGATACTTTGTTTCAGTTGTCTATATGTGGATATCTGGTTCTCACAACTTTTTTTTTTTTTTTTTTTATTGTGAGAATACCATACAGACGAGTTGCAATTACATGGGCAAGATAATGAGTACATTTCTTATCAAGCATTGTTG